CGTTGTTCACTAAATACTAATATTTGAACAGGAAGGAACCCTATAGATATGTGCTGGTGTAGTATTTAGTCGCTAGTTTTCCGTGGTTATAGGTTCAACTGCAACGAAAGAATGGTGAAATACGTAAGACTTGAATTGGATGTACGTATATTTCTGTGCTCTTCTTTTTAATTTATTTAATTTTTTTTAGTACGTATGTTTCTGTGCTATTCTTTTTTATTTATTTTTAGTACGTATATTTCTGTCCTCTTCTTCATTTTCTATTTATTTCTAGTACGTATATTTCTGTCCTCTTTTTTTATTTTTTATTTGAATACGTATATTTCTGTCCTCTTGTTTTTTATTTACTTATTTATTTTTAGTACGTATATTTCTGTGCTCTTCATTATTTATATATTATTTTAGTACGTATATTTCTGTACTCATTTTTTTTAGTGCGTATATTTCTGTGCTCTTCTTTTTTATTCATTTATTTTTGGAATGTATATTCCTGTGCTCTCTTTTTTTATTTATTTATGTTTTAGGGGTCGCTTCGTTCTTTTACCACAGAACGTGACAATATACACGTTCATGTACATAATCAAACTAAAACTTTTAGGCTGCTTCTCTGAGTATGGTTAGGTTAAGTCTTCAAGACAAACATTTTTATGAATAAATCTACAGCTCTAATTACACACTTTATAACCGTGTGTATCGTATTTTTGTTTGTTTGGTGTGATGTTCATGCATACTTGATAGTTTTTTTTTTTGGCATTTGTTATATTGAAATGACCTGTTATTAAGATTTTAGTAACTTGGAAAAAATAATGAAAAATAATCGGAGCAGTTTTATATATTCTGAAAAGTCATTTGTTTTTAATGTGGTGTTGGTCTACATTTGAACAGTGATTTGTTCTTAATGCGGTGTTGGTCTACATTTGAACAGTGATTTGTTCTTAATGTGGTGTTAGTCTACATTTGAACACATTTGTTCTTAATGCGGTGTTGGTCTACATTTGAACAGTGATTTGTTCTTAATGTGGTGTTAGTCTACATTTGAACACATTTGTTCTTAATGTGGTGTTGGTCTACATTTGAACAGTGATTTGTTCTTAATGCGGTGTTAGTCTACATTTGAACAGTCATTTGTTCTTAATGTGGTGTTAGTCTACATTTGAACAGTCATTTGTTCTTAATGTGGTGTTAGTCTACATTTG